TCAACAGATAATATATCTAAAGGCAAGTTCTGATATTGAATACATGTGTAAAATGAAGGTACTGAAGTTGTTAATAATTCAATCATTACCTTTAAATGAACTCCAAGTGCCTCCTCCTGATTGAATATGAAATATGCAGTGAACAGTATATGGCAAGGCCAGACAGGAAGCTGGGCTGAATGCTCTCCTCACACACAACTTGGCCTTCCAGTGTCCACTTGTCAAAGTGTCTCCTAAAACAATAGCACATGTGGCAAAATGTATTTTTTACTATACCATTTTTATTTTTCAGCTTTTAACATTTAAACTATATTTTAGTATTCAGAGTGCAGGAACTCTTTCTTTTAAATAAAATGAACAAAGGCATTATACAAACAATAAGCTAATTACACACACAGAGTAGGCTATAGCTAATATATATATATATATATATATATATGTATATGTACTGAAATGTAAGGGATTTTTACACCGGCATATTAAACATGCGACAAAACTGGTATTACAGCACCATTCAAAATGTAGGCTAACGTTATATGACACACATCCTCTGTGAGTCTGACGCAAGGTTTTAACAACGCCGTTTTAATTTCGGCGCCCATTTTAACAGATGACTTGATTTTGATTTGATTTAAACCATAAAATAATCACGAGGAAGTGTGCTGATCAACACGAAGCTCGTGTGAATACCGACTGTTGTCATTAAAGCATGTAATTCTTAACATAGGAGCCCATAGATCCCGAGGAATGTGTGAAATACTACCGCGTCCGCGCTGCTGAAGCCCCGCGCAAGTCTCCCTCGCGCCCCGCGGTCGGAGGATGTGTGATCCGGGGTTAAGTTACCAACATGAACCGCGAATATAACGTGACCTTCATAGTCTACGAGTAACCCAACATGAAAAATAAGAAACTGAAATAATAAGTCACTTACCACAGAGTTGAGAATCACTCCTCTTGCTGCCGCCGACACGACCGTTGAAGATCACGATGCCTCTGAAGATTTGAAATTTACAGCAATATTCTGTATTTTGAATCAAACCACCGCGCGGCCCCAGAATGCATTGCAGTTTACAGCAATATGCTGTATTATTAGAAAACAGCCAGCTGCTGTAAAATAATGCTGTAATTTTTACAGCAATTCATTACAGTGTTACTTGTTCAGCAGAAAAAAGCCGTCTCTTCTTCCGTTTTGAACCCCTTCAAAACACGGAGTTCACGCACTTTTCAAAAGCCCCGCCGATGTTTAAATCCTTGTGTTCGCATGAGACGGTTTCTTTCTCTTTCTCTAGCCACCTTAAATCCGAAGTACGAAGTCTTTTGGGTTTTATAACTGCTGAATCTCCAGTTGACACTGATGATTGTTGTTTGGATCTTTCTGGATGCCATAAGTTTAATTATGTAAAGTGCTGTGAGAAAAGCCTATACATCTAAACATCTCGTCACGCGCAGTATAGCCGGCTAGCCGAAACTCCTTCTTTATGTGTACGGGTGTGACGTAATGACGCAAAGACATGCTCGAATTTCCCGCGGAAACCCACCAGTACCACTGGAATTAAAATCATTATTACAAGCTAACCGTTTTGAATCTAGCTATGGCAAGCAGATAGTTTTGACCACTGGCAGAATAAGTTTTTTTTTAATATAATTATTTTGGATTATTTTTAACTTAAAAAAGTTACGGACTGGAGGTTTAATGATGTGCTTCACACACACATAATCAGTCGTGTGTTTATTAGTCATGTTTAATCAATCAAAGCGTTTCAATCTTCTGTTTATTCAGCTACAGACAATATGATGAACAATAGGGATTTACTGGAATGATGTGTGTTATTGTACAACTTCTTCATATTTGGCGTGTGTGTGTGTGTGTGTGTGTGTGAGATGGGGCATTTACTACCGATCAGCCGTTCTGCACTGACACACTGTGCATTAAATAATCACAGTCTTTCAGTGCGGTTTCATTGTGATTAATCGTGCAGCGCTAATTCAAATCATTCGTTCGGAGATTCTTTCATTACGTGTTGCTGAGACGAGCAACTGTTCTCATGTGGCTTTGTTTAAAACTATTTTCATTTAGCAAAAACAGACAATATGTGTCTGAAATGTAAGTTACTTAATACTAACTTGTTTATTAAATTGTTCTATAACAATATCAGATTTCCAATATGCTTTTCCAGGAAAAAACAGCACTCTTGCTCTTTACTCTTATTGCTTACCTTTATCATTATAAATATAAAAATCAGGAACTCATTAGTGAGGCATTCCCCCAATGTATTGATTTCGTTATAAAAATTATATTGTGTTTGTAAACCTTTGAAAACTATATTTGTCATAACCATAAACTTTAATAAAAATAAAAAAATTAAATGTTGTGTATGTGTGTTGTTTTTCATTATAGGGTTCGAGCTGAACTCTGCAGGAAAGTGGATCTCGAGGGCCAGAGTTGCTCACTGGTTTATTTAATGTAAAATCAACGCTATTTAAAGAGTTAGTTCACCCACAAATAAAATAAAAATAAAAAATGAAATCAACATCACGTCGTTCTAGAACCCATCGAACGTAAAACCTGGAAGCGCTGCATTGTGTTTAGAGACGCTATTCTCGTCGCTTCATGACATTGGGATGGGAGACTCCTGGGTAAACCAGTCTTCTGCTGGAGGAGGTGTTAGTGAGGCCAGTAGGTGGCGCTGCTCACCCTGTGGTCTGTGTGGGTCTCTAACGCCCCAGTGTAGTGATCGGGACATGATACTGTCAAAGAGCACCGTCCTTCAAATGAGACGTTAAACCGAGATCCTGACTCTCTGTGGTCATTAAAAATCCCATGGCACTTCTGTAAAGAGTAGGGGTTTAACCCTGGAGTCCTGGAGCCAAAGGCCTTCCATTGGCCCCCTAATAATCCCCATCCACTGAATCGGCTCTATCACTCTCTCTCCTCTCCACCTATACACAAGTTTATGAGCCGTTTCCGCTCTACATCCTAAACTCCTCCCGTCGATGCAACCCACTTCCGTTCTGGCGGGCTGGGTTTGTTTTGCTAGCTAGCTCCGACAAAGCGCTGATATCGCAGTGACATAACAATTACAACATGAAGAAATGTGGTTCGGGAACGATGTGTGTGGTAGTTGGTTGTAAACACTCGAGAAAGCACCTGAACGAGTGGTTAGATAGAGAGTGCTACGACCGCAAACCAGCTACGAAGAGGCAATGTGCTCCATTGTTTACACACAAACACACTCACACACAGTATCGCGCCCGCGCCTCTCTCTCTCACATACACAGTTCGATCGCCTAATTATTATCATCATGGCACACACAAACACTTTGCACTCTAGCTAAGAAGTCTATGATATAGTTCGGATACCAACGTCAGGAAGACATTCACTGACAGCGCGTTCTCTTTTGTCTTGTCGCGCATGAGTGGTTTAAACTAAAGCATTTGCGTGAATAAGAGCATGGTCATAACCCTAGCTAAAGGATGACAGAAAGAACATGCTACTGCATTTTATGGGTTAGTTTCGACATTTAAAGGTATTTTAACAGGTAAAAGGGCTGGATTTTGACAGCAGGCAAAACAATGCAGAGTCATAAGGATAATTGCAAAAGAGATCATGTCTTTATTTATAGCTCAGCAGTAAGTCATGTTATTATAGGTTACAGTCCGTTTTCCAAATACAAACACGTATTCCATCCGCAACAACAGGCTTCTTTTATTTCCTATAATCATGTAAATGTCATCCCTGATTAAGCTATAAACTGCAAACACGTATTTGGCCACAATTGTTATTATTATGTTAAAAGAAACATTAAAGTATCACACAGATACATTTGCTATTACCACGGACATAAACTGATAGTTATTTGCACGTTACTGTTTGATCTAGCTGTGTATGACATGACACAACCGACTTTGTTGCTGTGCAGATATTGATATGCCTCGGCTTTCAGATTGTCCAATTGCTTTTCCATCTATTGCCATGGATTGCACGAAGTAGGAGCAAATCTCGCTGTACGTTATGCTGGGCCACGTCGTCATGTTAGTGTTCTGCACTGAATTCGGGTGGATTTTTTTTTTTTTTTTACCGTCGCTGTGTTTACGGTTTACACCGGCAGACGCTGTGCAAACCACTTCCGGCGGAAATGAAGTGCATTTGAGTAGAGTTATGGCGGCGCCCATGATTTGGCGCGTAAACTTGTGTATAGCTGGTGTGTGTGTGTGTGATGTGGTGCCATTGTACTGTGGATGCTCACACTAGTGGTGGTCGAGGAGATTCCCCTGACTGGAATGTTAAGCGCTTTGGATGTACAGTATAAAAAGCGTTATATAAATGCCTCATTCATTTCATCAAAAATAACTTCATCTGTGTTCCGAAGATGAATGAAGGACTTATGGGTTTGTAACGACATGAGGGTGAGTAATTAATTAAATAAACTTCATTTTTGGCTGAACTGTCCCTTTAAGGGAGAATATGTGTGGCTCTTAAAATAGTCTGTGTTCTCTGATCAGACAGCCGTCCTGCTAAACACATTAATGCTCGTGTGAGGGATGATATTTTACATGGATACTGGAAAAGGCCTAAAGCACTAAACCATGTTTACATAATAAATAATGCAACCAAAATTTACATCGCAAATATGGAAACATTTGTATTCGTGCTGAGAGCTTAAGTTATGCTTCAAATCAATTTGTCTTCATTGTTCATAATATATCCATAAAATATAATTTTATAATTTTATTTAAAAAAAATACATAAATATATATATGCATATCTGCTACTTTGAGCTATTCTGGATAGCCCAAAGGTAAAATGTAAAGGATTTGTTCATAAAAAAAAAACACTTTATCTTACAGCAAAAATATAAAAGGAAACACTTCAAAAAAGTCTGAGAGCTTACAAGCCTTTACTGTGAAAACCAGCCATACATTTCTTAACATAATAGCTTATTGTTCTACGGCATCTTCCTCTACATGCATGTGACTAAAGGTGCAATAAAACTGCTCTTTAAAGGATAATATGTGTGGCTCTTAAAAGAGCCTTTGTGTTGTGTTGAGCGGACTCGCTCTACTTTGAGCTGGTGTATTTGGTCACAGCCTTTGTGCCCTCAGACACGGCGTGTTTGGCCAGCTCTCCGGGCAGCAGCAGACGCACGGCGGTCTGGATCTCTCTCGATGTGATGGTGGAGCGCTTGTTGTAGTGAGCGAGACGAGACGCTTCACCGGCGATGCGCTCGAAGATGTCGTTGACGAAAGAGTTCATGATTCCCATCGCCTTGGAGGAGATCCCGGTGTCGGGATGAACCTGCTTCAGGACTTTGTACACGTAGATCGCGTAGCTCTCCTTCCTGGACTTTCTGCGCTTCTTTCCGCCCTTGCCGGCGGTTTTAGTGACGGCCTTCTTCGAGCCCTTCTTGGGTGCAGACTTCGCTGGTTCAGGCATGATTTCGTTCAAAGAACAATAAAGCTGAATCACTGCAGGCGGGCTTTATCCACTGCTCTATGCTAATTTCAAAAGGGAAGAACAGGCTCTGTGATTGTGAGTCTTCAACCCATATAATGATTTCATTGGCCACGTTAAACATTCATTGACTTGTAGGTGATCCAATCAGAAGCTTTAAAATGTTAACCACGCCCACCGACAAAGACCATCCCCCACATCAACTCCATTCCTTTGTTTATTTTTCCCGCATTGTTTTCCAGAATGAATAAGTGAAATATTGTGAATAATTACCATTCTTTAACGAGGTACGCTGAGAATTCAATATTATTTTAACGTTTATTTAGAAGCAGAAATAGCAAAATCGATGTAAACTCAATGAATTCAATATATTTTCATAATACTGTGAAATCTGAAAGATATGCATATTGGGACCCAGAATTTTCTTTTTTATTAGGAATTTGTCCATGCCATTGCATTGTTTACTTTGCAGCATAAGAAACGAATTAGAAAAAAAAAGATTTTTTTTTATTATTAATGTTATGCCCTCTGATCAACAGACTCAGTTGTTTAAACGATAAATGACAAGAAATTATATGTATTGGCGAAAACAATAGGAATTTAGTTTTGTTCACCAATAATTTCGGTTTGGGGATTTTTTAACCAAAATGTGTGTAAAGATGATTCTCGGCTATGTTATTAAAGATATAATGTAATGCATACATTTCAGTTCATACACTTATGCGTGTAAATACGGCCATAAATGCCATTTCCATTTAAAAAAATTGCACAATGCCCACAACTCTTAAATGAGGATTTAACCGCACAAATGTGAGAATAACAAAGTTTCTTAATTTTATTTGCTTAAAAATAAAATCACTTTAAGGCACATTCAAGGCAAACAAATAATTTCACCAGCTAGTTTGTTCTTTCTGGGAAAATATGGATGGCTCTTAAAAGAGCCGTTGGGTTTTTCTTCTTCGTGAGTCTCTTAACCGCCGAACCCGTACAGGGTGCGTCCCTGTCGCTTCAGCGCGTACACAACATCCATGGCGGTGACGGTCTTTCTCTTGGCGTGTTCAGTGTAAGTCACAGCATCACGGATGACGTTCTCCAGAAACACCTTCAACACACCGCGCGTCTCTTCGTAGATCAGCCCAGAAATACGCTTGACGCCGCCACGTCGAGCAAGACGACGAATAGCGGGTTTAGTGATTCCCTGAATATTATCGCGAAGAACCTTTCGGTGACGCTTAGCGCCTCCTTTCCCGAGTCCTTTACCGCCTTTACCTCTTCCAGACATGACGACAGATGCTATTGAACTCAGAACAACAGAATATAGAAAACACCCTGGAGAAGAGGCAGTTATAGTCAGCTAGCGGACCTAGTTGAAACCACATTCATGGGCGGTTCTATTAAACGTCACCAGTTACGCATTTCCGAATCGAGATCAGTCTTTTGATGCTTGACACTAGTGGAAATGAATAGGATTTAAAGGGTTAGTTCGCCCATTTAAGACATGAAGTTGTATGCAATCCTTACCAGCACTATAGTGCATACACACTGACCCACTCTGTTGTCACCTCCCTGGTCAGAGTTCTGGCCGCTGGAAGTTTTTCAATAAAGTACTCCCGGTTATTTTCCGGGGCCACAAAACTGTGCGTTTTTACGTGAAAAAATGATTTGCGTTTCAAAGCTTGATTAATTTACCACACAAAAAACACGCCGGTCAAAATTCATACCTCAGTTTTAATCTGCACTATTTTCTATCCATTTCTATCAATCCGCGCGGCTGTCAACGTCAACAGTGCGCACGATCCGATCAGCTGTTGATAGTGCGACTCGCTGACAACATGTCTGACTGCGAAACTTGGAAACTTCTGATGATGAAACCAATTTTAGCACAATGTCAGACGGATCAGATGATTAAAGTAATTTTACCACAACGACAATGTTATTGATTGCAACAAAAAACCTCAATTGTGTGTGTGTTCAATCAAATAGTTTTCTCAGCAAATTGTACCAATATCCCTATATACTGTTTTTATATTAGACATCTTTTCACGTGTTTTATAATGGAGTCTAAACATCAGCTTGTTTACCGTACAGTTTAGACATGGGATAATAAAGTTAGTAAATAGAGCTTACCCGTGTTACTGGTACAGCAAAACTCTTTAATTTTCCTTTTCCTCCCGGTTGGGGATGTAATCGTCTTCGCTGAAGTGAGCACTACGCACACGAAAATCCTTTATTCTGGATATTTTAGCTCCCGCAGAGTAGCCGATGGCAACCAGCCAACAACAAGCGCTTGCACCCCCTGCTGGTGAGATCGACTAACAGCAGATGGAGATTATGCTCGGTAAGCTGTCTAGTTATATTCGAAACAGGAAAACGATGGAATCTGAACTTTGACCCCGGCACATCCTTGTGTTCACAGCCTGGGAATTTACAAGTTCGCACTTTAAATTGTTAATTTAATACTTTTTACGTCGTTGTCAATCGATTGTGTAAACACTACAGCAGATCGGAACGTGCGCACTGTTGACGTTGACAGCAGCCGCGCGGATTGATAGAAATGGATAGAAAATAGTGCCGATTAAAACTGAGGTATGAATTTTGACCGGCGTGTTTTTTGTGTGGTAAATTAATCAAGCTTTGAAACGCAAATCATTTTTTCACGTAAAAACGCACAGTTTTGTGGCCCCGGAAAATAACCGGGAGTACTTTATTGAAAAACTTCCATCGGCCAGAACTCTGACCAGGGAGGTGACAACAGAGTGGGTCAGTGTGTATGCACTATAGTGCTGGTAAGGATTGCATACAACTTCATGTCTTAAATGGGCGAACTAACCCTTTAAGGAATATTAACTGCATAATGTATTAAATAAAAATAAAATAACTAAATTATATATATATATATATATAACTATAATAACTATGAACAAAATAATATAACTAAATGTCGTAGCATAACACTAAAACCATCTTTCATTTCCTTTTAGATTATATATATAAATATTTCGATGCTAAATATTTATATATATATATAAATAATCTATAAATATTTAGCATCGAAATATTTAACGAGGCCAAAGCGGTTTATTCACAGTAGCCTACAATGGGAAAAAATATCCGTGCAGTGCCATTTGTACATCAATCTAATGCAGCGATTACATCGATTAAAAAGGCTCAGAACACTATATTATTTATTTTATAATATTAACACCGTAGAATAAAAACTCAATTTTATTTTTTTGCTGGGCAGTTCACTTTAACAGTGATTGGATTAATGAAATGACTCTCTCAGGGAGAAATTGTGTGGCTCTTAAAAGAGCCTTTGGTTTGCAGAGAAGCTTCCGTCAGTTTACTTGGCCTTCGCGGGCTTCTCGGTCTTCTTGGGCAGCAGCACGGCCTGGATGTTGGGCAACACACCACCCTGAGCGATGGTCACGCCACCCAGAAGCTTGTTCAGCTCCTCGTCATTGCGCACCGCCAGCTGCAGGTGTCGAGGGATGATGCGGGTCTTCTTGTTGTCCCGAGCGGCGTTTCCAGCCAACTCCAGGATCTCAGCGGTCAGATACTCGAGCACAGCGGCCAAATACACCGGAGCTCCGGCACCGACGCGCTGGGCATAGTTACCTTTGCGGAGAAGCCTGTGAACACGGCCGACGGGGAACTGCAGTCCGGCCCTGGAAGAGCGAGTCTTGGCCTTGGCACGAGCCTTTCCCCCGGTTTTACCTCTTCCACTCATTGCGACTAAATTCTGTTTTCGACTAGCGAGAGAAACAAATACAATGCAGTTGCCCGTTGTGAGGTGAGTTATAAAAGTAAGCGTGCCCGTCTCCTATTGGCCGAAGTCTGAAAACATTCCCATCCAATCAGTGATCTTCCCTCCAAACACCCTTTCTATTGGCTCAAACACGTCACGCTGTAGTATCGTTTAATGCCGCTAGGCTTCCTTTTAAAGGGTGGCTTTATTTTGATAATGATTATGATGATGATAATAATAATAATGTGTGATTAGAAGTTAAACACGTCGGTCTTGATGCAAAATATGTTTAGTTTAATTGTATAAATATGTAAACATATATTATGTATAAAAACTCCAGACTTGATCAAAAACAGAACATTTCCAAATGCATTTGCACAAGATGGCCTGTTAATTTGGTTTCACTTGTAACATAAATGAAAGCCAATGTCACTTTTGACCAATGAAAAAACACTCTTTACTATTAACTAGTGGGTGGCTCTTAAAAGAGCTTTTTTGATAGAACAAAAATACTTTATTTATTTTTGGCTATATGTTTCACTGTTTTTGGGTTTGGGTGCCTTTGCCTTTTTTGGGTTCTTGGCTGGTTTTGGGCTTCTCAGCGGCAGCGGGTTTCTTGGCCGGTTTTGTCTTGGTCTCGCTCTGTTTCTTGTTGAGTTTGAAGGAGCCGGAGGCGCCGGTCCCTTTAGTCTGGACCAGAGCCATAGAGAGAAAGAGTTGCGACGCGCTTTGATGTCGCCGCGACGGCTGTCACGTGGTTCATGTAAGCCCCAATAGTTCCAAAACATACGCGGGCTGTCATGTTCTTCTATGGACAGACAGCAGCGATTGCATTTTTAAACGGTAAATATAAAATAAAACACACACCCAAGTACTTTTTCAGCTGTTATTGCATTTTGTTAATGTCAGTTTTGCATTTGGAGAGGCAGGGTGACAACTTAGATAAGTTTTAGGCTATATTTTTGGAGGGAAAAGCTTAGTGTTCATGTTCGCATGGGTAACGTTAGTAATAGCACTGGCTTTAGCGGCTCTAACTTAACTTTTCCATGTCATTCATCTGATGATGGACGTCTCATGATATTTATTTTAGCACAACTGGGCTGTATTAGGCTATTGATTCCCGTGATCTTGCTTATAAATTCCGATTCAGCGATATGCCTACCTTCGTGATCATGCAAAGAGGTCTGCAGTCCGTTCAGAACTCCAACCAACATAAAAATATAAATAATTATGCTGTGCATGTACAAATGAACAATTTAGGAGGGAAATAGACTGCTCCCATAACGTAGAAAGCAACGACTACAATGTTCGGTAAATATTCAACCGAAAAATATTCTTCATAAAATTAATCCGGAGAGATAGTTAAAGCAGCACTCAGTAAGAATTCCTTTTTTGTCAAACAGCTACCCCTAGAGTCGCTGTGGAGTACTTGTACTGTCGTGAATAGCACGCAGAGATGGCTCGCACTCACGCCCGGATCCCCTCCCCCTGTACACCGGTACCTGTTCAGTAGGATGGACGCTGTAACGAGTGGAAATAAGGGATGGCCCCTTTAAGAGCTGCGCGCGCCCAACACCACATGTATACGGCGCCGGGTTATTTCTGTTTGATGCTCATTTTATCAGATCTGTTTTTTTGCCGTAAAGCAATTCGTTACCTCGCGAGACCTGATATCACACGATACTTCCTAACTTTGGGCGGCTCGCCGGCCCAAAGTTGCAAGGGTGGTTTTGCTGCTCACAGGCACCAGGGGGGTGCGAGACGACCACCATTCAACACGAAATCAGTAATATAAACATTGCAATGACTCCAAAGCTGTTCGGTTAAGGTAAAAAAGTTACTTAGTTCACCTTTAATGAGCGAATTAACTATGTTCCTAAATACATATAAGCACATGCATAACCCTAACCCATTTAAATAAATGAATTGTGTGTGTGTGTATGTATATAAAAAATATATATAGGCTATGTATATATATATATATATATATATATATATATATATATAGCCTATATATCATATTATATACATACATATTTATATACATATAAAATATTATTAAAAATATTATATATTATATACATTAGGTTACCAGTTAGCTAACGTTAGTGAAGTGTTGGTCACGTAAGCTATCGCTGCAATTAACCTATTATCTTCCAATAAACATTTACTAAAACTGGCTACATAAAATATAACTACAGACTAGATTCATGAGAGGTCGGCTAATGTGTGTAAAAGTAAAAAAAAATACAGTAATTTCATTAATTTACCAGCGAACGTACTTCTGAAGCACTGAAAATTAATGGGGTTCAATGGAGAAACTATCAGTGTTTGGAACTATTGGCCGCTCCACGACACGCGTTACTTCCGCATTCCAAAGTTCCTATGGCGGTCTATGGGAGCGTCGCAACTCTTTCTCTGGTCTGGACCAAGCGTGCCACACAAGCCCTCAAAAGTGAAGCCAAAACGTCTCGATCGCCCCCCGGTGACCGGTCCTAGTATAGCTCATGAGCCCCGCCTCCCCATGTTATTCAACGGGACGTGAGACCAACTAAATAATTAAATTACACTTATCTTTTTTCTAAAGATAGTTTCTGTCATTTACTGTAGTTTATATCACGTTGATGTTGTTTCAATTGTTTGTTTTTAAAATAAGTTAGTTTTTAGTTAGTTATTTGATGCTATATAAACGGTGCTGTGACATCATGATTGACAGCTGTGATTGACAGGTTATCTGTGTGAAGTAATCACTGAAGCACCAACGGACTTTTTTTCATAATGACTATGTGGTTAGTAGTTGTATTTAACTTATTTTAACGAGGTACTGCAATCAGCAGACATCATTGGAGAGGAACGGAGCAGACAAGGCCACTTAAAGAGCAACATGCAGGTTGGACACCCCTATATAGCATAGTGTATGTTGATGATAAAACAACTAGATTTTCTGAACTGGAGTAATATATATTTAGCCATTAACGATATTTTGAGATAAATTGTGATAAAATAACTTCCGCGTCTATAAAGCACTAACCGGAAGTGACGATGGGCGAGGGAGTCTGGTCAAGTTCAAGCTCAGGTTACAATGGATGTGAATGAAGAAACCGAGTTCTCCGATGTTGACGAGCATGCCTATGGCCCACAGGTAGGGATGGGGCCGATCCGATCCAGTATCGGTATCGGGACAGATACCAGTGTAATTCACGTAATGGATTTTCCCGATCCAACCTGCGCAGATATCCGATATCCTGCTGAAATGACTCAAAGTGATTCCCGCCGGCCAGTCTGCTAGCTGGCTGCAAACTGTGGAATGGATTTCCTGAACGGAGGCGCGGCTCAATGAGACACAGAGACCCCCCTCAGGAAATCCATTCCGCAGTTTGCAGACAGCAAGCAGGATAGCATTGAGCTGTGTGTAAATACTTCACACTGGAAACACCGCAGAGCAAGACAGCAAAATGCAATGTTTGCAAATCCGTATTAATTAAACCATCTGTCTGTGATGCAAAAAAATCTCCAGGTCTATAATTCTCCGGAGTGAAATGTGCGTTACAAACGACCGAGTGTGTGGTGACAGACGCGGCAGTGAAGTCTGCTCTCTTCACCTGCACAAAACGCACCCAAGAACGAAAAGCCTTGTTTTTCCTAGAAGGAAAATGATGGACACGATGTCCAGACAGGCTGGAATTCGTGCAACCAGCACAAACACAACAATTTACCATTATGGCATCTCTAAAACTCGATCTAAAACGTTCTCTGTCTCTCACTACCGCTCTAACTACAGCTGACCGCGAGCTCTTGTTTGCCTCGGCCTACGTCATATCACGCGTTGCTAGCGGGAAAGGCGTATTCCAGAGCCTTGCACATTTTCATCAAAATCTCTACATCAAATGAGATTTCATTAGTAATTTCTACATATGTGTTTTTAAAAGACCTCTTCAGACAATATCAAGTATTAATTCAGTTATAAATTCAACCTGCACGTTGCTCTTTAAGAAAAGTGCAGGGGCGTGTGCTAGCGATTGATTTCGCGAGAGTGAGGGCGGGGCCTTGATTTCACGGCTTTACTTCCTGCTCTCGACTGCGCATGACTGGTCCCGAAAACGCGCAGACTCAAGTTCCAATATGTCAGCGCCATATCCCATATCGGGACACTGGCGGCTTCAGTTCTCTCCAATGGAAAAGAGCAAAGGGGCGTCGTCCATCTTTTTTTACAGTCTATGGTCTGGACTATGATGCCTTTATCTCTCTGTGTAACTTTAAGAGAAAGATAGATGCAAAAGGTTTATAACTCAGTTCAGAATGGCACTTTTTTTTCACTGTTTCCACTAAGGCAGTGTGATTTTAACTCTTGTAGCTGTATTAGCAGTGGTGGAGGAAGTACTGAATCTCAGTACTTAAGTAAAAGTACAATTAACCAGAGACATTTACTTTAGTGAAAGTAGAAGTACCACAATGACAACCCTACTTAAGTAAAAAGTAAAAAGTACCTGATTTTAAATGTACTTTAAGTATTAAAAGTAAAATTACTTGCATAACAATTTATTCTCTTAATGTCTATATTCTAATGATTAATAAAACAGTTAATCCTAACTCATTCAACCTAATAATCCTATAATGATGTTCAATAATGATGGAAAAGCCGGGTTTTTTTTTGTTTTGTTTTTTCACCATTTCTGAACAAGCTTGCAATTAGGCAATATACACATCAAGCTTAATTTGACGGGGTTTGGCTGTAAACGCGATTCATTTATGGCGTAATTCTGAACCTCTTGGCTTGCCATACTAATCCTAACCAAACCAGAGCCCGTCTAACGGAGAGCCTTGGCACTTTTAGCCCCATTGTGTATCATCTTGGTTGCAGTTCCATTAGAATTCCACTGGAGGTGATCGCGGGCGAGTGCAGAATGCAGAATGGGAGTCTATGGAGCTAAATGGCTAAATGTATCTCTTTCTCCTGCTTGTCGTTGAATCAACATAGATTTTATTGTTGATTCCGCAAGTTCAATATAGATTATAGGCCAAA